GGGTCATTGACTTTCCTTATATGTGTATAGCAAAAAGTTAAAAAAATCTTCTTAGAAAAAAACCAAAATAGCTGGAGTTTAGATATTAAGCATGAAACATCTTCTAGTGAGTGTCTACCAAGTTTGTTCAAATAAAAGCCCTGGGGGTCATTGAATTTCCTTATACGTGTATAGCAAAAACTTAAAAATTTTCTTTGAAAAAACCCAAATAGCTAGAGTTTAGATATTAAACATGAAACATCTTCTAGTGAGTGTCTACCAAGTTTGTTCAAATAAAAGCCCTGGGGTCAAAATTGGCCCGCCCCAGGGGGTCTTTGATTTTCCCTATATGCATATAGTAAAAACTTAAAAAAACTTCTTTTAAAGAACACAAAGAGCTAGAGCTAAGATGTTTAGCATGAAACTTCTTCTAATAAGTGTCTACCAAGCTTGTTCAAATAAAAGCCCTAGGGTCAAAATTGGCCCGCCCCGGGGTCATTGATTTTCCTTATATGTGTATAGCAAAAACTTAAAAAAATCTTCTATGAAAAAACCCAAATAGCTGGAGTTTAGATATTAAGCATGAAACATCTTCTAGTGAGTGTTTACAAAGTTTGTTCAAATAAAAGCCCTGGGATCAAAATTGGCCCCGCCCCGGGTGTCATTGATTTTCCTTATATGTGTATAGCAAAAACTTAAAAATCTTCTTTGAAAAACCCAAATAGCTAGAGTTTAGATATTAAGCATGAAACATCTTCTAGTAAGTGTCTACACAGTTTGTTCAAATAAAAGCCCTGGGGTCAAAACTGGCCCCGCCCCAGGGGTGTCATTGTTTTTAACTTTATGTGTATAGTAAAAACTTAAAAAATCTTCTTTTAAAAAACCCAATGAACTAGAGTTTAGATGTTTAGCATGAAACATCTTCTTATTGGTGTCTACCAAGTTTGTTCAAAAGCCCCTGGATTAAAATTGGCCCTGCCGGGGGGAGGCGGAAGGGACGGGGGTACATCATTGTTTTTCATTATATGTGTGTAGTAAAAACTTAACATTGTGAAACATCTTCAAATGGATGTCTTCCAAGTTTGTTCAAATAAAGCCCTGGGGTTTAAACTGGCCCCGCTCCGGGTGCTTTTATACAGGTGAGCGACCTCAGGGCCATCATGGCCCTCTTGTTATTGGATGTAACACCGATCGAACAAAATACATATTTGTTCGATCGATCGGACAAAATGTTTATTCTTTTAGTACAGATTGAGAGAGAAATTTTCAAATACAGTGTTTGAACATTTTTGTTGGATCGATCGAACAAAATGTTTGTTTTAAATTTCATTTGATTCAACAAGTTTTGGTAATATAGGAAATTTTGTTCGGCTGATCGAACAAAATCTTTGGGTTTTTTTTTTTGGTACAGTTTGAGAGAGAAATTTTTCAATACAGTGTTTGAACATTTTTGTTTAATTGTTCAAACAAAATGTTTGTTTTTAAAATTTATTTGATGTAACAAGTTTTGGTAATGAAAAGACATTTTGTTCGGTCGATCGAACAAAATGTTTTGGTTTTTTAGTACAGTTTGAGAGAGAAATTTTCCAATACAGTGTTTGAATAGTTTTGTTCGTTCGATCGAACAATATCTTTACTTTAAATTTTTCATTTGATTTTACCAGTTTTGGAAATGAAAAGAAATTTTGTTCGATCAGTCAAACAAAGAAATAAAATGTTTGCCCTTTTTGTTCGATCGATCGAACAAAATATATATTTGTTCGATTAATCGAACTAAAAATTTTCATTTATTTAACCAGGTTTGGGAATGAAAAGAAATTTTGTTCGATCAATTGAACAAAATACATATTTGTTCGATCGATCGAACAAAATGTTAATTTTTTTAGTACAGATTGAGAGAGAAATTTTCAAATACAGTGTTTTAACATTTTTGTTCGATCGATCAAACAAAATATTTGTTTTAAATTTCATTTTTTGATTTAACAAGTTTTGGTAATGAAAAGAAATTTTGTTCGGTCGATCGAACAAAATCTTTTTGGGGTTTTTTTTTGGTACAGTTTGAGAGAGAAATTTTTCAATACAGTGTTTGAACAGTTTTGTTCGATCGATCGAACAAAATATTTATTTTAAATTTTTCATTTATTTGACCAGTTTTGGAAATGAAAAAAAATTTTGTTCGATCGATCGAACAAAATATATATTTGTTCGATCGATCGAACAAAATGTTAATTTTTTTAGTACAGATTGAGAGAGAAATTTTCAAATACAGTGTTTGAACATTTTTGTTCGATCGATCGAACAAAATGTTTGTTTTAAATTTCATTTGATTTAACAAGTTTTGGTAATGAAAAGAAATTTTGTTCGATCGATCGAACAAAATCTTTTGGTTTTTTTAGTACAGATTGAGAGAGAAAATTTCAATACACTGTTTGAACAGTTTTGTTCGATCGATCGAACATATTTCTTTTTTAATTTTTATTTATTTGACCAGTTTTGGAATTGAAAAGAAATTTTGTTCGATCGATCTGACAAAATATATATTTTGTTCGATCGATCGAACAAAATGTTAATTTTTTGGTACAGATTGAGAGAGAAATTTTCAAATACAGTGTTTTAACATTTTTGTTCGATCGATCAAACAAAATATAATTATATATTTGTTCAATCGATGGAACAAAATGTTTGTTATATGTATTTATTCAATGTTTTAAGTCAAATCTTTAATAAAGTTGAATGAAAAAAGAGTCACTTGTTCTTTTTTGTATTCACCATTTGTGAAAAATAACTCCAATATTTACACCCAAAAACCCTATTATTAGGCTGAAAAGAGGGACTGATTGGACAATCCCTTTTTATTTTGGAACGAGATCTATGAAGTTTTGAAGTATGAAAAGTAACAAAGGGCAATAACTCAAAAATTAGGAAGGGTAGAGTTATTATTCTTGTGCACTGCACACCTCCTGAGTGATATCTTTCCGCCTATGAAGTTTCATATTGATATCTCAAAGGCTTTTTGTGTTATGCTCTGGACAAAAATTAAGTTTGAAAAATAACAAAGGACAATAACTCAAAAATTATGCAGGATGGAGTTATCATTCTTGTGCACTGCACTCCTTCTTAATATGATCTATCCACCTATGAAGGTTCAAGTTGATACCTTTAACACTTTTTTAGATAAGGTCCGGACAAAAAGTATGAAAATAACAAAGGGCAATAACTCAAAAATTATAAAGGAAAGAGTTATCATTTTTGCACACAGCATTCCTCCTCAATAAGATCTATCCACCTATGAAGTTTCATGTTGACATCTCAAAGACGTTTTGTGTTATGTTCCACTCAGGTAAAGATTAAGTATGAAAAATAACAAAGGGCAATAACTCAAAAATTATGAACAGTAAAGTTATCATTCTTGTGCACTGCACACCTCCTGAGTGTGATCTATCCACAAAAATTAAGTTTGAAAAATAACAAAAGGCAGTATCTCAAAAATTATGCAGGATGGAGTTATCATGCTTATGCAATGCACTCCTCCTCAATATGATCTATCAAGTTGATACCTAAAATACTTTTTGTGATATGCTCCGGACAAAAATGTCGTACGGAAGGACGGACGGATGGAAGGTCGGACGGACGAAGACTGTTTCTATATCCCCCTTCGGCGGGGGATAATAAGTAAATAGCATGCTAACAATAAATCAATATATTTGAGAAGTAAGTGATATATGATATTATACTTTCTTGTTCATGATTTAGGATCCATGTCAACTGATATTATGATCATTCCAAAAGTAATTGATGACTTTGAGGAAAGCAGCGTTTCCTTCAAATGTGTTCACAATGGAACAGGCTTAAGAATGACATGGCGGCGGAAAGATGGGAGCAATATTTGCCTTTTTGCAACACATGATTGTATGGCTCTCATTACAACTCAAGACAGAACCACGTGCACTTGTGAAAAAGATTCTAAAAACAAAACAACTGTTTCATTACGAATACCTAATATCTCAAGTGCTGATCACAATACTACTTTGTTTTGCACAGTTACTTATATGTCAGGAATCCTCAGTGAAAAAGCCTCTTTATTGGTCAAAGGTACGTGTTAAATTAATAATTAATATATCTTATTCTTGAATATTTATAAATGGACTTTATCGGTCGTTTCGTCACGAAAATAGCATGTTAAATTACATTTTCGGTATGGCTTATAAAACATATAAGTCACCTTCAGCACACAAACAAGAGTATATTGCATTCAACGTCACATTTTAAACTCAAACTATTTATGTCGAATGTGGTTAAATTAAGATTAAATTACCTTATTACATTAATAATATGCATACATTTATAAGTAAAATAAAATAAACTTATCAGTGTTTTCTAAAAAAAACAACAACAACAACAAACAAACAAACAAAAAACAACAACAAAAAACAACACTAATATACTTATAATTGACATTTCACACTAAATTAAACGAAGCTTTGATTCATCTCGCACTATTCAAAGGCCATCCGCAATATGTATAATTTAACACTTAAATCGATCATAAAAAGATTTGTTTTGATGTTTATGCATATAAACATATAAATAAATGAATTCATAAAATGGATAATCTAAAATGCAAAGAACATAAGACTTATCAAGACTGGATATATGTGAACATCTCAATATACTTACAAATTTCTATTTCAAGAGCGAGTAATAATAAGCTAATGATGTCTCATTTAATTATAGTTCCAGTTAAAACATTGACTATCAATCCCACTGGGCAGTTCATACAGATTTCTGAAAACAAAACTACAACGTTTACTTGCAACACTTCTTACAGCCGGCCGATTCCTCAAATTCAATGGATTTTAAAGGATCGCAGCCATTTGCAATTAACTGGCGAGCAAACAAATAACATTAACAATAAAGGTTTGACTTCAACAGAGAGTTCTCTTAATTACAAACCTAGCAGAGCATACAATGGATGGAAACTTTATTGTATTGTCATCAAGTCGGAAATACAAAAGGAAGACATGTCATCAAGCTTGATAACACTTAATATCACATGTAGGTCTAACAGACTCAATCAAACTGAGCATGCAATATTATCATAATTTTGCCATTTTGGGCCTTCTTCGGATATTCTATTTTTTCTCTATTTTTCCTTAATATAGCGTGTTTTTCATCATGGCTCTAAATAAACTTAAAAACTGTCAATTCCAACTTTGTATCAAGTCATCTGTTTTATTATTTGTTTCAATAAATATTTTTATTCATATTTTCAAAATTTTAATTTTATTTTTGCTTCAGATCCACCCGATTCAACGCTAATGATAGATGGATTTCTCTCAAATGGAATTTATTATGTTATTGAAAATAGCATAGGCACTTTAACTTGCAAAACCACCGGAGGAAATCCTAAGCCTTCATTGTCATGGACTAGATGTTTTGATTATGAAATTTATACTTGTTCTAGCAGCTTCTCTACAACAGAAAGTGAGTCAAATACGTTGACTTGGCGGGCAATGTCTGACACTGATAGATTATGTACATGTCACTCAATACAAATGGAAAGAAATGACTCTGTGTCTATCACTGTCAAAGTATTATGTAAGTTCGAACTTAACACTTGTTTCTTTCACATATGTCTTAAAGTATTCAGCAAGAATTTAATAATAACATTAAGATGATAGCTTCTTCGTTGAAAATAATACGTGTTATTCATTTACAAACTTACAATGTGTATGGGCATTTAATAAGACGTGCATATTTTTCCGACTATATATCAAATAATAGGATATTTTTATTTAGCTATATTTGCGTTATATCAAGAAATCATTAAAGTATGAACTAACTTTTATTTTTTTTAAGATCCTCCGACAGTACCAATACTAACGTATGGTTCATTAAATGTGTCAGGACATATAAATATAATACAAAACGAAGAACTGTTGTTGGATTGTAGTAGCAATAGTAAACCACCTCCAACTTATCAATGGAAAGCAAAACACATACAAGTGACTTTCAATAAAACATTGCAAATTCTAGAGACGGAAAAAATGCATGAAGGAAATTATACATGTTTTGTTACAAATACAATGAACGCAACCGAAAGACAACAAAATGGTTCTAATAGAAGCACTGTTGAAGTCCATGTTCTTTGTAAGTATCGTACTATGAATCTTCGAAATCTACATTTAATACTTTTAGCACAAACTAGAAGTATTTGCATGCATTGCCATGTTTTAACCAGCTTTCAGCTTTTTGTAATGAAGGAGGGGCGTTCGTGACCGCGTGAAAGCAATTGTCCCTTACTGCTGTGTGTTTATTTTTTCATATAAGAGAGCTTCGTGTACATTGGTTTTACTAATGTATACGCTCGATCCTGAAATATTGAAGAGAGAGTGTCTGTGTATTATTTCACCAGTTCAACTGGAAATTCGATATGTACACTTTGTTTGTCCGAAGAAACCTCCAGCCTGGAAAAGTTGTTAATATATTCAAGACAAAATACTCGAAGGAACACTACATTATACAAACCAATACGGTATAATTTAGTACACATAACAAACACATAATGTTGTTAAGATGTCAATAATTGTAGCCGCTACTTTTAAGATAAAAACAAATGAACACAATGTTATTATTATTATTATAATTATTATTATTATTATTATTATTATATCTAAACTTCAAATTTTAATGGTAATAAATTAGGTAATTATGTATGGCAAAGAAAAAAATCACAAGTCAGGTCAATATGTACAAATGAGCAAATGTTTGGACAGATGCTTCTCTACAGAATGATAGAGTATGTTTGAGATTATATCATTCAAGTATTTGTATCTGTAACTTCAAATACAAATACAAATCGTTTTTAAAATAGTGTACGAATATAGATTATTGAAAAATAAAAAAAAAACAGCACATAGTGAACACAAACATTGGTTGATTAAAAAATAAATAAAAGTTTGAAACGTTTTGATTATCTGCCTTCAATAGCATTAGAAAACCTTACATAAAAGAAGGAGGTAAGCCATATAAGATTTCAAACTTTATGAACTAAGCTTTTACCTTAGTGAAGCTCATCTATTACAGAGCGCCTTGAGAAAAATCACAACAACAACAAAACACACATACACACAATACAAAAAAAAAAAAAAAATAAACATATATTAAAAAAGGATGTCGTGATGATATGATTGAAATAAATTTATTTCAAGTTTGAAACTTTTCTAGATCCGCCTACAATCAACACATTAGAAAACCTGACATTGGTAGAAGGAGATCATCTTAACTTTTCATGTTCGGTTACTCATGGAAACCCAAAGAAAACGGTATTTTTATGGACATCTGAGAGGCACATGACCTGGTCAAGTCAATATTTAACAATACGTAACATTTCAAGGGATGACGACATGAATTACAACTGCAGTGTTTACAACATTATGACACCAACTGGAAAATCACCTGTTAAAGGAACAGATAGTAAAATGATTCATCTATCTGTACAGTGTATGTACTAACTGCTTTGCTTGAAGCATAACATATAGTATAGTTCGTAAAATGTCTTACAGATATTTTTTCAAAACAATAAGTGTAATGTTGTGTTATGTGTACATATCTGCAAAAAAATAGTTAAAACAAATTTAACTATTCTTTCTGTTTAGTTTCTAAAGAAAAATTCTCTTGAAGTTAACTATTTACAGAACAAAATGATTAATTTTCAGACTCTGCGACAATAAAGGATTTTTACGTGAATGGATACAAATCTGTGCGTAATGTGACAGCAACTGAATATGACAACGTTACCTTTATTTGCAACATTGACAGTAAACCAATTTCGAATACAAGTCTACGATTAACGACGGACAAAACTTTGGTTTGGACATATTCAAATGTGCTGAGTTTTACACTTGGCTCTGCCAAATGTATAGATTCTGGAACTTATTTTTGTTTTGGCAAAAATGAACACAACATCGGGGTCGGTTCAACAAAGCAACTAAATTTATTCATTAGATGTAAGTATATGACAACTTACTTTCTGATTTTACAATAGACCATGATTTTATTATCAGATAAATCAAGAATATGAGATAGCAAAACCGTTCTTTCTTTAGCATAAGCAATATGAATCGTAAACCAAATAATTCTCAATACCAACCGTTTAATATACATATGTAGCTAGAAGATCTAACTAACATATTACTTGTAAACTGCAAAGTCAGTTTTATGCAAATAATAAAAAATGACACTGAATGTTTTTTTTAAATGCGTTCTCTTATTTAACAAAACAAAACATCATCTCATATTTATAATATACATGTACTTAATTTTACAAATTTGTATAATTTATACTAGATTTATGTTTGTACTTTGGTATAAAGATAAATTCAATTGTTCATATCATGATGTTGTGATTTTCTATAGGTTCACCAAGAGCCAATCCAATGGTTCCATACACAAAAAACTTTACATCAGCAAGAAATGTTACTGTCGTTTTATTTTTCCCTGCCCTTGCCTACCCTAAACCAGATAGTGTTATTTGGCAGAAATACTCAATGTCTAATTGGATCAGTCTTTCATCAAACAGCAATATCAATATATCAAATAATGCGCTAAATGTTAGTGTATCTATATACACAATGATGGAGACAGACTTCGGGCGATATAGGCTTATTATTACGAATGTTGTTGGTTCATACGTACAAGACTACTATATCAACGCTGAAGGTAGGTTTTAATGTACACTTTCATATGTTATGTGCTGATACTTTTTTCCAAATAATCTTTGATAAAATGTTTATAAATATATGAAATTATTTATAAACATTAATAAAATATGCATGTAAACACATAATTGGACATTATATGCTGGTATATTATTATAAATGCCATATTCATAAACGTTTAAAATTTGTAATGCAAACAAAAGTATCACACTTGTACTAGTTGTATTATTTAATGCCAATTGTAGAGTGCATGACCCTAAGAAAAGATAATGTAAATGATATTGTTTATGTTCTTAATAGTTATGAAATAAATTATAGTCTCTTAGTGCCTTCCTGCAGTATAATTTTGTATATCTGTTTTGCCTATTGACAGATTAAAAGGTGAAAAATTCTGTACAAATTGATATATTGTATTTCATTCATACTATATTGTTATATAACTTTACTAATCATGTTTTATTAACTATACAATGATAACTCGCATAAGCCAACGACTAAAATGATGGCAATAACACTGCACCGATTAATGTAAGTGTCTTATTTAATCGCATGATTGTGTGCAACTGCCGGTTTCTATTATTAGACAAACCAAATCCTCCGACGGGCTTTCGTGTCATCAATAAATTAACAACGGCTACGACTGCAACGGTACAATGGTTTCCTTCTTTTAATGGTGGAAAACCCCAACGTTTTGTTTTGAACTACACCAAATCTCTACAGAAACACTGGACACACGAAGAAATAGAAGACACAGGGGAACCAATACTAATTTATACGATAAATGGATTGTCAAGCAATTCTTTCTACTACATCTTTTTATATTCCATTAATATATTAGGGTCATCCAAGATGTCTGCACGTCTTGAAATCAAGACAAAAGGTAGTCATTGTTCTAAGAATTACTTATTAACAAGTTGTTGTAGTATGCTTTCAATACATACACTGACACCTATTTTATATTGAACAAACACCAATAAAACTCCCAGTCTTGTAAACTTTATAACTATGACATGTGTTTTTCTTCAGAAGGAATGTATATAGATGATAACACCAGTGGCGTTTGGACAACCATAGGAATTTGTATAGGTGCTCTGCTCTTTTTGCTTTTACTATTCATTGGCATATATACATTAAGAAGGTAAAAAAATAAAAAATGTTCATATATGTAAGACGCCGATAAAAGACGTCTTTCGTCAAAATATTTTTTTTTTCAATTTACGTACAAAACTTTTTATATTCTTGAAGTGCATTAATTTGTTTATAAATTGTACATATTAACATCGCAACTGTTACAACAATGCATATATCGTTAAATCAATGAAATATCCAATATAGAATACTAGAAACACTTTTGTTGTAACTTCTTTTTTCTTTGCATCGATATGACCTATACTGTGTCGATGTGACGTAAAACCCAAAACAAGCAAGCAAGCATCGGATATGAAATACTTTTGCATAAATTTCAGGTTTAAGCTGACATATCAACATACAACTATAAACGTACATCAAGACACTATTGGTTTGTAATCGTATTTAGAGTTTTATATAATTAGGTACCTTTATTCATGCCATAAATGCTGCAAACACATATGTAAATATATTTAATGAAGATGCACACTTGATTGCAGATGAATGTCTTTGTCACATACAAACTCGTCTGAAATATAGTTTAATGCCAATGTTTGAAGTATTGTTGCAATTCCGTAATAATTTTGTTTACCTTTCTAATTATGATATTTTAATAGAACGAATTTGTAAGAGAGCTGACGTAAAATGACTTTGTGAAAACCATTAATAATAATATTTTCTTTAATTGAATTTGAGTCTACACCGTCGTTGTTAAAAAAAACGAATTTCAAACGAGAAATTCATTATCAAACAAACTCAAATCAATTTATATTATCAAAATGTATAGGATTATCAACACAAAATATAAATTCTGCAACTGAATACGAAAGCATTGATCTTGATGCAGTTGGAGCAAACATACAACCGAATGACCCATCCAGCACAGGTATTTCAATTGTTTTTTCGTTTGTTATTTCATTTTTATATTATTTATTAAGTTATTTATGTATAAGTGTAGGCTTATTGACAATAGTATTATGTTTTGATATTTAAAAATAATAGGTAATATGATTAATTTTTTTACATGATACCTTTATTAACTTAGATATAATGTCAATATTTTTGTAACTGAACGACATTTTTGCTTTGAATTTTACTTAAGGCACAAGTACAGACGCTTTTCCACAAAATCCTTATGAGAAACTTGATAAAATCTTGAATGACAGTAATCAGTACAGTGAACTTAAAAAAATGGACGAAAGCCGTGAAGATGTTTTCAGGAAAAGAAAGCCTGACACAGCTCCGGAAACCTTGCAAAAAGACTTCGATAAAGCAATGTATATGAATATGAAAATTTGATTTGAGGACCAAATTTTAAATTCTGACTTATTTAAAATGTATTATGTTTTTAAGTAATACAACTAGCACTTGTAAAAAACTTTCTAGCTAGTTTACGGAACATCGGTGGTTCTACTCAGGTGCCCGTTCGTGCCTGAAATATGCACGGAAGGGCACCTGAGGTCTTCCTCTACCAGTAAAGCTGGAACGTCACGATATGACCTATATTGTGTCGATGTGACGTAACACCCAAAAACAAACAAACAAACAAACAAAAATCTTTTGTTGTGTATATGAGATAAATCCTGGTTAATAGATGTCATGTTTATGATTGCCTTTAACTCTCAGCATAGTCATTGCATATACTGTGTAAGTACTGACTAGTGATGTTTATAAACGATGTAAAAATGAAACATCATATTATGTTTTATTTGCGTGCGATATTGTAAAATTACTAAAGAAATACTGAATAAAGTACAATCACGTGTTTCAATTATATCAATATGTATACTGACGGGCTAGGTCCATTTGCTTACATGGTCATAATTTGTACTGCGATTAAATTCCGTTAAGAGAGTATTGATGCGATACAATGCAATACCTGAAGGATTTAACGGATACACTTTACATTCTGAACGAGGAAACAAATACTCTTTACATTAAATTCTGAACCGTTTCATATTAAGTGTGCCCATTTTATAACATTACTCTTTCATTTCTGAAATAAAGTACACAGAGGGTAGAGATGGAATCTTACACTTTTTTATTTGGGTCCTTAAACATGTTAAACATGTTGATTTAGAATTCCTCTATAAATATTCACAACCAGACACAGTTTATGACACGTTCTTAGTTGTAGGCAGAGATTGTGATTCTCATTTAAAAATTATTCATTGTCACATCAGCATTCTTTGTGTCGTGCGTTGTTGGAAATATAAAATCGTTTGGTGTTTTCTTTTCACGTAACTATAAACTTGTATGTGTGTTAAAATACATAAATATTGTTTTTGTATTCACGGACTCTTTAATCACCTATGGAAGGGAAAACGGTGCAAATTTTCATTTATCTGTCGAATGTATGCTTGTTTATGTTTCTTGCATAATTGCAAAAAAAATGTAAATATCAACTTTAATAAAAAAAATATGTTCTGTTGTTTCAATTATTGACTTAATTTATATGATCATTGTCAATTTCAGAGATTATTAGTGTGAACGCATTTTATCAAAATTTCATTAATTGTTTATTGTTCTCGTTTGATTTAATGTAATATGTTTTTATTTAAAAAGAAATAACTGTGTATAAAGTTGCATTATGTTTATTTGCTACTGTCATATTGAGTTGAATAAGTATTTTTCAAAAGATTGATTTCTGTAATGATGATTGACTAATAATTGATACTGTAAACTGTTAAGGATAAAAAATAAAAATAAAATGTTATCTAAATCATAAAAAAGACTGATCCACTCATGATCAGTCCGTCGCAACAATTTACTAACATAGCAACCAGTGACATCCTATAGAAACCAGTGACATTCTAGAGCACCACATTTCTTTCCATTGCAAACGTAGGCATCTATAGCATCAATTTACTATCCATAGCACCAAGCGACTCCCATAGCAACTGTTGAATTTCCATAGCTTCCAATTTTCCATTTCAACAATTGTCTTTTATAGTAATTATTGAATTTCCACAGCAACCATTGCCTTTCTGCATCAACAAGTTAATTCCATAGCAGGCATTTCAGTTTTTCATAGCAGCCAGTGGCTTCCTTAGCAAACATTGAATTTCCATAGAAACGAGTGAATTTATCATAGAATGTCTGTGCAAACAGCACATACACATTGCATTTTTCTAGCAAGCAGTGACTTTTGTTAAAATAGTATTCTTTTTTATTTCACTTAGCAACTAGTGACGTTTTAACATGTGTAATTTTTCAGATGGAAACATAACTTTGTGATTTCAATCAAAAGCTTTAGGCTATATCTGTTTTATATTTATAGTGTACAATGTTAATTATGTCTTGTCTTTAAGAACATTTATCATTACAATCATACAAGAATATTATGCAAAATGACATACATTTGAAATGATATTGTAAAACATAATGTCACACTTGTATAAGCCACTTGTATTATTGTTATCTTGAAACTCAAAATGGTAATTTAAACGTATTTTGAATGTTCTTAAAACTATCGAAATTTATTAGATGTTCATTAAATATTTTATATATAAATACTTGTATGCATACCTTTAATGCATTTTGACTACTTACTTTATACCAACAATTACTAAAATATAACTGTAAAATTGCATTTAATAATTTTGTTTGTATTGTATGTTAGATTGTAAGAAACTTTGCTTTATGAACCTCGGTTAATATTTCCCAAGTTTGTTAGTGTTTTAACTTTGAGCATATAACATATATCATAGTCTATCATATGCACATATCAATGTGTAAACCTATGTTTAACAAAAATGTATGCTTTGTTCTGCTGTAGTATATGTTTGATTAAGCAAATAAATATCTGAAAATCATTACCAAGTTTATAACTTCATACAAAGAGTGGAATCATCTTGTCGATGTCATGGCTCTAACTTTACAGTAAAGAACGCGTGTCTGTGTACGAGTTTGGATCATTTCGTATACACTCTACTTATGTGTTTCTGCAGATTAAGATTAACTTAAAAACATTTATAAATATGATAATAGTAGGATTGACCGTCAATAAATATGTAAATCTTAAAAAGGAAAAAAGTGTTTATTAATAAGAACACTTATTCTTTTCAGCATAATTTTTTTTATTGACTTTTAAATCACCATACTTATTTTTTGTCTGAGGAAGAACCACTGGAGGTATGAAATTAATTAACAATTTGATATAAACTATCAAAAGGTTTTATAAATGAAATTATATATTGTGTATATTTGGAGAGTTATTGTCCATTTATTTGTTTTCCACAAGATAATTCAAAAGTATTCAAGATTTCAACTTGAAAATTCACTTATAGTTTGAAAATTTTAAATAAAAGTGCACTGCTTAAAAATAAAACATTTTTCGAAATAACTTTCCTTTGTATTGTTTTATATACAATGCATTTACTTTTTGACCGAAACTTAACATCCAACTTGAAAAAAAGTATAGTTAAGTTGAAAGTGTATTACAGAATAGTTCAGTGTCACTCTTTTTTGTCTTGTGTTGGAGCTTTTGTCTTTAATGTTTATGGTAGCTCACATCAAATATTGTCCCTCCGCTGTGGGTTGAATCCCGTCATGATTATTTCATAAGCTAGCTTCGTCACATCAGCGTTGTTTATGCCGTGTGGAGGCTGTAAAAAGTCGCCCCGTAAATCCAATCAGAGATGTTATCTTTCCGGTCCTTAAAGACTTTTCAGCACAATGTTATTGATGTGCTTGTGGTTATTTTAGTTTAAACTTTTCAGCATTTTCTACATGGGTGGTTCCAATATTCCTACCTGACTAATGTTGAATCCCCCTTATGCTATGTTACCTGCTTTTAATCTTTGTATTTTGACGTCTTATCTGTGATATGCAGGCTTCATAACCCCTGATCTCCTTTCAAAGTTCAATGTTGTTTAGTTAAACCCATTTTTAGGCATATAGGGCACACGCTTTCTATTATTGGGGACCATACGCCGCTTTTCGTGGAATGGCATGGAAGTGTCACATTGAAGGTTTCATGATAATCGCCGAAAGAACTCATCTAGACGGATTTTTCTCAATTCAAAAGTTTACCATATCATGTTTAAATGTTTAATTCTGCTTAAACCAGTGCTTGGGGCGTGGATGGTAACTTGCACTTTACAGTACGTCCATGAACAGGCTAAATCAGACAGAAACAAAATTGAAACCGCATATGTGTAAGAGTCTTGTGACAGTGCTTTGTATTTCCATAGACCTGTCTTCCAAACAGTCATATTCAGGTGAGCGATAAAGGGCCATCATGGCCCACTTGTTTATACCCTAGCATATATGTCTTCCACATCAAAACAACATAACGCGTCCAAAACCCATGGATCAAGGGTTCACATATAATATGAATGTACTCATTCCCACAAGAAGTATTTGAAGGTACAAGCTGGTGAGCAGATTGTCATTCGTTGGATGATTTTGAAATAACTTGGCAGAAATCCGCCCGAACAAAAATTAACATAAAATCCATGAGGAAACAAACAAATATAGTATAAATGAACAAATATAGTATAAATGGAAGTCAATTATTGATTATTTTTATCCATAACATATTATGTCAAATCATTTATAAATATTTTGCACTTTTAGATGGTAGTGAAGTTTGCCACAATCCTGGTGGTGCAAATATTTTCCGGTTGCTGTTTAATATTATTACCTTTGCTTAATTGCATTTGATTTCACCAAAAACACCGTAGATATAAACTTGCTGATGGTTTTGTACTAGTTTTATAGGTGGATGAGCCAGTACGCTTTACAAATTTATAGTATCTGAGTAAGGAGTCTTGCCACGTTAAAATTATGTAGACCAATTTGCCACCTTGAAATATTTAATAGGTTATTATTATCATCATACACATCAGCTATGCTGAGATAGATTCAACAACAACAACAACAACAACAACAACACAATAAACAACAAAATAATTACCAACAAAAATCGTACGTATTGTCTAAATAACTTACGTGAAGACTACACATTTAATATCACCCAACTGAATGAGGTTAATACTGCACGAGAATGTAGAGAATCTTGAATAGCATAATTCTACGCAATTATTGAATATCCCTTGCATATAAACGTTACAATTCCTACTATAATGATTCTGACCTTCATCATTAATATTTGTGTGTTATTAGTAGAACCTGCCTAGAACATTTGAATGAATTAAGCGTACTATACATTTAAATATTTGGGCATAAAACCTATTACCAATACAGAAAGAACTTTATAAATGTTCCATGTGAAGAATACTCAAACTGTACATTTAGTTGTATGATTTAATATGAATAACAATTTTACGAGTTTCGCTACTAATATAATTTTCTTTGCGAATCGCTGTCTTAAATTTTAGTTACTGACAGGGTCTTATTCTGGTGAAAATTTTATATATAAAGTGCTTTGGCCATTCTATAAAACGCTGTCTCGCAGTTTTCATTTTAGGCCGAAGATAGATAGACATACATGTAATCACAGATAATCAATCACGAAAAGAAAAGGAAAACGGGAATCATCGTTCTATTTACGATTGTAATTAATAGTTTTCTGATTGATCGATTTCGTAAAGCGGGATACTTGTTTGCATCTCTGTTTTACTGTATCTGAAAAAAAAAAGAATAATTCCGACGGTAAATACTAGTCACAAAAGTGGTCGGGAACATAAAAAAACAATGTCTTTGCCATTATTGTAAGCATTCCTATCTTTCCAATTTGTGCAGAAACAATTGAAGTCGTTTAAAAAAATAAAGTGTCATTACTGTACCAATCATTTGGAAGTTAACTAAAAATGTTAACTAAATAGTTTTTTATTTGCCATTGCAATTTTTTTCAATCAACATTTTGTTGAGTAACCCGTACACTTATAAGATAAAAGTTAGTATTTCTGTGCAAAGTTAAGCCACGTTCACTCCACAAAGATAATAATAATAATAATAATAATAATAATAATAATAATAATAATAATAATAAAATAATAATAATAAATAAATTATTCATGTGTGTGTGTGTGAAATACAGAGACATTCTAAAATACAGCTTTATAAGAATTTCGGTGTTTCATGTCATTTGTACAAAACAGAATAATATACTGACTGTGTAACTTCCTTTGAAATTAGAAACAATTGATCTTTTTGTCGATTTGAGATGTGCATTTGTTACACGTTGAGCCACAGGCGTAATATTGTGTTGCTTTCTTTATTTGTTCAGGTGAACATTTAAGTATTTTGTGATTGATTGGGTTCCTTGATGTCCATGGTTTGTGTGTTAACGCTCTTCTGTACATTGTCTTTGTTCTTTACATTGTCATTTATATTAATCTATGCATTGTAAGAGATAATGCATTATCATTTAAACTCCCCCTTCCTGCTGTTAGTTTCTAAACATACTTGAAATGCGTATATTGTTGGGTGTTACAAATATAAATTACTTTGAACGCTTAAAAGAGAGGTTAACACATATTTAAATATTATATAACTTCGTCCGATAAAATTGATCTAAGTGTTGGCAATTTTGATAGTGACAGATTAATGATTGATAATAAAAATTGTTCATGCTATAATGACCTATATTATATAAAGACTGTCCCACTCTTTTTTAAAAATCAATAATAACAATCCATTCTAAACGATATTTCTAGCAATTTACGTTACTCACTTGGATCATTGCTTAATGTTTTATAGTAAGGAATAAAACTGAACACAATAATGAAAAAAATGTAAAGCTATTTAAATTTTTATCTGCTCTTTGACTGTTTACACTTGGATTGGCAAAATGTCACTTTAATTTATTATTGTAAATGTTATTTACGTAAATTTGAACTTATGGTTAATACCCTGTCTTCCATAACTTTTAACCATGTGAAAAAACATGCTATCTTAGGAAACATTACATCACTTACCTTTACTGTATAAACATGACTTGAATTTACTTCCCATTTTAAATTGGTCGGTGTATGAGTCAATACAACTCTGAAGTTAACATTTTTTGTTTCATTTCCAGATGCCTCTATGTGATAAAACCCACATGTTTTTCTTGCATTTACGTCATCATTGCAATTTGAACATCCAGAGCTGTCGTTCTCGTTGAAAGCAAATTGGCCATTAGTATACTTTTCTTGGACTTCATTCTTAAATATCAACCATATTAAGAATTAAATTGCTCTTTCTAGAATTTATAAAATGATCGGAAATTATAAGGAACCAAATTGTAAAATTGTGTAATTTAATTCCCAGTTAAAAGTATGTTATCCGGAACTCGGCAAATATTTTTTTTATTCCCAGCTAATTTTATGTACAAACTTCCGTTTACAGTTACAGCTTCAAGGTGCACTACATTTCACAATAGATAAGTCAACATGCTTCCTATATTATCGAAACTGTAACTGTAAAAATGTGTTTGTACTTACGGATTAGCTGAGCGAAACATAAATATTCTTAATTCCTGAATTAGTCTATAGACCTTAATTTGCTGATTTTTATTAGCTAACTGTAACATTTTTATTTTCTATTTGGATGGCTTACTAGCACACAAACTAAACAAGACCCGAAGGATGGTTTATATATTTTATTATATGTGTTGCATCCAAGTATACACTCATAAACTCCCAAACATCAAGTAAACATACACACAGTAACAATAACGATATTTGATATTAAAGGCGTGGCTTATTATATCTTGTAGAATTGCTTACTACATCCTCCTCTATCTTTAGTTTAGAACTCATCAATAAAATCAATAAACTTAAATTATCAAAATTTTAAATTTAAATTTGCAAACATAGTGTCATAAGAAATATTTTTCTTCGTATGAAATAAGCTATATAGCAAGTTTATTGTTATAAACTCTTCTCCTTTTTCAGCAGAGTTCATTAAGCAATGCGATTTACTCTAATCAGTGTACTAGGCATCTGTTTCAACGAAGTAATGATAAATACAATGTTATTGTTAATTGTCATATCTTTTCTATTTGTTCGTAATGTCACAAAATATCAAGCAAATTACATTATTATCACAACATTTGTTCAAACAACTAGCATTGTTATCAAAAGAATGATTTGTTTTTCCGTTTTCTACCACACAAAGACCAATTATAAGGTAATTTAATAAAAACCAAAAGTAATAATTTCACGAATAACAGAATGTTCTCACATACGCTATCATTTTTCCTAGATTAATAAATCCAGCAAGCGGATATAAATGATACACTGCTATGATAGCAAATATAATTAGGGCATTATTATGGCCAACACATTTGAGTCATTAACCCTTATAGCTGTAACGAGAAATGGTATCATAGATTAAACCATTTTCTTTCTCTCTTTTTTTAAATCTTCATAACGTCTCGGCGGTCGGCGTTTCCTCTGCGGCCTATTTCTAGGTAAAGATGTATAATCTGCAGGTTTCGTCTGCACTGGCTCTTGATCTCCATGAACATATGTAAATTTGGAAACGTCCCGTATGATTTCTTTTCCTTTATGTTTGATTGTAAGCATAGATCCTTTCATAGCGATGATTATCCCGGGGGTAGGGTCAAACGCTGTTTCAAACTTATTCCGTTGTTCCCGTTTTAATAGCACACGATCACCCAATTTCAAATTATTTCGCTGAGCTCTACGTTTCTTATCAGCGTATATTTTGTTTTTCGCTTTTGATAGACTGTCCCTGTCTCGAATATCTGTATCTTTGTTATCAAATGTCATCTTTGGTAATTTTGTCTTTAATTTACGATTGAACATTAATTCACTAGGAGCTGTTTGTGTAGTTGTTTGTGGTGTGTTCCAAACATTCATAAGATATCTACTTAACGCTCTTTTATAATCTTGTCTTGACGCTATCGCTGTTTTAATTGCTTTTTGCAGTGGCGCCATAAATCTCTCAACTATTCCATTTGCCTGTGGGTGCAATGGAGTAATTCGTTTATGTTTAAATCCCAAATTATTAGCAAATTCTCTGAATGCGCGACTTTGAAACGGAGGTCCATTGTCCGTTTTCACTACCTCTGGATATCCGAATATCGAAAATATCGCCTCTAATCGCGGTATGACTGTATCTGCGGCTGTCGATTTGATTCTTTCAACTACTGGAAATCTACTGTAGTCACAAATAACAACTAGTAACATGTACCCGTCTGGAAAAGGACCACAAAAGTCACAACTGACATCAGAAAACACATCTCGTGGTAGTAATGTTGGTTTGATCGGGTCTGGAATAATTCTTGTTGATGCAGCTTGGCATACAATGCATGATCTACAAATTTCTTCCACCTTTCTATCCATATGTGGAAACCAGCAATATTCACGTAATAATCCTTTGCATTTTGATTGGCCTTGGTGACCTTCATGCGAAAGCATAACAGTTTGTTTTTGCAGACATTCTGGTATGCAAAATTTTGTACCTCGTAAAAGCACAAATCCATCTTCCGTATATGCAACTGCAAGTTCTTGATTTTTATTCAAATTCTCGTATAACCGAAAACATTCATCTAATTTGCATTTTTGAGTTTTCCAGTCATTTTGTTTTAACGCATTTCTTACACAGCTCAATATACAGTCCGTTTCGGTAGCTTTTGCTACATCTGACAGCTTCAATGCATCTGGCAAAGCGTTATCTGTAATAAAGCTGATATACTGCTCGGCTACTGTATTTGTTTCGTGTCTTGCATGTGGATGCCTGGAAAGATAATCTGATATCATCATTTTACCTGGTCTATAAACTGTCTGGAAATCAAACGCCAACGTTCTAATCTTGGTGACTGTATATTCTTGATATTGTTGAAGATTGACTGACGTGCAGCATGATCTGTTATCAGTTTAAATTTCTTGCCGAATAAATTCAAATGGAAATGCTGAATGATGAAAACAACAGTCAGATTCTCTTTCTGTTTGAAAATACCGCGTTTGAACTGAATTGTATGCTTTGCTTCCACATGTAACTATTTTGCCGTTTTAAATAAGAATTTCTGAGCATCTAACTGGACATCTGTCGACCCAGAGTTCAGTTTCCTTTCTTGGATCGAAATATGTCATGACCTTACCACTTATTAAGGCATCTTTTAATGATGTGAACGATTTTTCTTGGTCGGCAGTCCGTTCAGATTTTACACCTTTATGTGTAAGTCTTCATAATGGGTCTGTTAAGCTTGAATAGCCATCTATGAACTTAGACAAATAGTTCGTGAGACCCAGAAATGAACGGATTTCGGATATTGATTTTGGTCTGTCCATATTTTTCACTGCATTTACTTTGTCAGGATCGGGTGAAATTCCGGATTCGGAAAATACGTATCCGTAGAACTTGATTTTAGAATGTCCGAATGAACATTTTTGGCTGTTCAGTGTGAGGTTTCGATCTTGAAGACGTTGCAGTAAAGCTCTAAGATTGGCGTCGTGTTCTTCCTGTGTCTTACCGAAACATACGATGTCGTCGGCAATATTCAATATGCCTTTAAGACCTTGAAGTGCTTGACGAAGCTCGTTTTGGAAAATTATCGGTGCTGCGGATACCCCGAAATTTAGACGTTTATACCGAAACAGTCCAATATGTGTCTGAAACGTTGTCATTACACGTGATGCTTCATCCAATTCAATTTGATGGAAAGCTTTGTACAGATCTAGACGTGAAAATACCGTTGCGCCGTTTAACGTCAAGATGATATTATCCACCGTCGGGCAAACATTTTTCTCTGTTTTGATTGCGGTGTTAGCTTTTCTCATGTCTACGCACACTCTCACTTCATGCGGAGCATTAGGTTTCGGAGCCGCTACTAAGTGCAAATTCCATGGTGTCGGTAAACCTATAACCTTTTCAATGACATCCATTTCCTCTAAACTTTTCAGTTCCTTTTCGACTTGCGCACGTACATGAAATGGAACTCTCCTAGGCGGTTGAGCTACAGGTACAACACTTTCATCAATATGAAACTTAACTTTTCTCTCTTTCAAACATCCTAAGCCTGTGAAAACTTGAGAATATTCTTCAGTAAGTCCTGAATATGCGTCTTTGCTTTGAACTGATTTTTGAACTGATTGTATTTGCGGTAAAATCCCAAGCTCTACCGATAATTCATAACTGATCAATGTTTCTTTGTTACCTTTAACGATATGGAAATCTTTTGTCATAAATTTTGAGTCCGACTCCACAAGCAGGGAACATTTGCCTATGAATGGAAGTGGAGATTTCTGCCCAAATACGAATGCTTTTGTTTTCGTCTTCTTGATTTCTGGACGAATTTTCATTTTCTCGAGGTCGATTTCGCTAATAATATTTAACGATGAACCGCTATCTATCAACACATTAACATCTACGCCATTTAATTTAATGCATTTCTTTGGCACTTTTTTCCCATCTGACATCTTAAATCCAAATAACACATCGCACTCATTTGAACTGATACTCGGCGTGCTTGCCTCTGATAAAACTTGTGAATCCGACGGTTCATCATCGATTAACTTCACCTTGTTTTGACGTTTTCTGCAGACCGATATGAAATGATTCTTCTTATGACAGTAGTTACATTCCGCTCCGATAGCAGGACAACGTGACATATGGGGATACTTTCCTCCACAATTTCGGCATTTTTTATTTCGTTCTGGAGGGTAGTTTCGCCTTCCCGACGACGAACTTGCTTCTGGGATAGTTTGATATGAACGTTGCTGATAACGTTTAGCTGCGAATCCCTTTGATTGACGGCTAAATCGAGGATTGCTTTTTACCCGCACTACTTGCTGACTACTTGTATCCTTTGACATATTTGATGCTTGAGTTTTTGATATTTCCATGGTTCTCATTTTTGTAAATAAGTCATTAAGTGATTTATCCGGATCTTGTAAACACTGCATTCTCATGTTTTGTGAAACAACACCCTGTATGATCTGGCTTTTAATTTCTGAGTCAATGTCCGAAAATTCATAATTCTTAGCTTTCTGGCGTAATCTTGTTGTAAACTGGTCGATAGATTCCCCATGCAATTGCTTCATATTACGAAATTCGAATATTTCAAATTGTGTATTTTTCTAGGCTTAAAGAATGTTGTTAATCCAATTTTCGTTTCCTCATAGTTTTCATTGTCTTCTCTTAAATTCAATGTATCATAGATATCGTAAACATCATCTCCTGCATAATGAAGTAACAGTGCCTTTTTTCGTTTTCTAGTGTTTATACCCAGTCCAACAAATAAGTTTTCTAATTTATCCAAATACTTTTCCCATCGTACTCCAAGAGAATTTTCATCAGCAAAAACATCGAATTTCGGATAAGCAGGTAAATTATCCATTTTCAAATCTGTTTTTTTTTTCACAGAGTCAGTTTAAATTAATCCACAGTTTTTTTTTTAATATCCGATCCTCGTCGCCAATGTAACATTTATATTTTCTATTTGGATGGCTTACTAGCACACAAACTAAACAAGACCCGAAGGATGGTTTATATATTTTATTATATGTGTTGCATCCAAGTATACACTCATAAACTCCCAAACATCAAGTAAACATACACACAGTAACAATAACGATATTTGATATTAAAGGCGTGGCTTATTATATCTTGTAGACTTGCTTACTACACTAACTGACGCTCACAAAGCTTAAGGCGAACACAATAACCATTTTTACAACCAGTTCTAATTGATTAGATAATTTAATAATTAATTGTTTTAAAACAATCATTGATGAGTTAGTTTTTTCGTTATTATGTTATCATAAGTCTTCTATGAAATGTGTGTTCCGTGTTTGCTAAGACTCTTACACTAGTACATTTTAGAACATTTTATAATTATATTCACAGGCGTGGAATTATCTTATTTCCGTACATTATCGGCTACTTTTATACAAGTCTAGTGTGTAGAATTAAGTTATTGAATGCTATCAATTTCATAATAATTTTTATTTATAAAATATAAAAAATAACTTAAATTATTAAATATTAAAGTTAAGAAAAAAATAAATTTGTATTTTTTTATAAAGTCATCCATTCGATAAAATGATTAAAATAAAAAGTAGCATTGTTGTCACTCTCAAAATGACATTTTTCTAAATACATTTTTACTGTGAAATGTCTTTTCCCTCTCTTACCTAGATATATCACTAGCATTTCTCGTTTGCCTATAACGTGGTTTCTTATTTCGTATCTTTGTTATCACAAGGCAAGCTCGGGGTAGCTCTTTGAGCAGATCGGGATTATATCATTTTGGAGGTTATTGTGCGGCTTCGGGAAAATATGACACAAAAATAGTTAATTATCATTTCTCTGTTAAAATTAAATGGGTACAATGAAAGTAAATTTACGTTTTATTATTTAGTAAACTTTGTAAAGTTTCAAAAATGAATGACTGTGCAGAAACTAAATTACAAAACAAAGTTCAACGGTAAATTATTGTAAAATATACAAAGTTATGGATGCATTAACTTCAAAACATTTGCCAATAGAAATAAACACAGTGATAACAAATGTTTTTTTTTAATATAAGCACTGATCTTTTCTAAACTGCAAACTACCTAACCTTTTGCAGAACTTCGTAAAATACAACAAACAAGATAGATAAATGACCTCCAAAAGAAAAGATATGACCTCCTTGGCCGGCGCGTTTGTTTAATTTTCTTTATTAAGTAGATATACATGTAATACCAGGCTTTTGTCTTTTTCATATTTGTCAACATTAAAACCGTATTGAAAGTTTGACTTTATCATATTCTTTATTATCCACTTCTTAATTGTTCAAATTTGTAAAAAAAAGTTTTAAAAAATTACACACATACACGCACGCACGCCCACACGCACGCACGCATGCATTTACATATATACTCAATTTTACGTCATCTCTTTAGTTTTGTAATATATCACAAGTTAATATTATCAAGAAATAAATGAATACATTTTATGTAATACATCACCAGTTACGTATACTGTTTTGTTAGAAAAGGAATGCAAATTTAATAAAACACTCTTAAGCGAGATATTCTTTTTTAAGAGTCAATATCTGACAAAGAAATTGACAACTTACGTAAACAGTATACCACTCGCACGTCACGTCAGTATATCCGGAAATACAGCCTGTTGATATCGAAAAGTTACCGTTAGAATGGCTTATAGTTGGCTCTGAAATCGGTGAAAGATTTGATGGATCAAAGTCTGAAATTTATGAAAAATAGTTTCAGTTAATTAAACGATTTACATCGGCAACAAATCTGAAAGAGCAGTCAAATACAAGTAATTGTAAATAAGCTAAAAAAGTATGTAAATATATAATGCTTTAATGTAACCTGTTTACATCATGAAAGGGTTTAAAGATTGATCGATATAAAAATGAACAGTAAAAGCAAAGCATATTAGTTCCATAATTTAATGGCCTAATCACCAAAAAAATGTCTTAAAGTTGTGTTAAACACGCATGAATATTGCACTTACACATACACACTCTCTGGAAAAATATTATTCTGCTACTGAAGGTAGGGATTTATCCGTAAAGATTTATGCAGGCAGCATTGGCTTTTAAGACAAATCACTATAATATAAATTTTAAACAAGCATGTTGCAAGCATTCTTTTTTTGAAGCAGACATATAGGTTTAATATACACTTCAATAAGTTAGGTTAAGCTGCATAACTAGAATTTTGAATTTATACAACGGTAACAAAATGAAAACGCAAAATAAATACAAACAAACAAAGAAACAATCAAACGAACAACAAACAAAAAATAATTGAAAATAAATAAATAAATAAATAAATATATAACTTACTGATAGCACCTGGGACTACCATTAGCTGTACTCTTGTATTACTAGCGTCTGTACAATTTATCTGAGTACAGTCATTGTAATCGTAAGCGCTTTTTGTCATCTCGTAAGCAAACTCTGACACGTTTATTGAAATTGTATAACCAATAGGCTGTGGCAAACAGCCCGAGTTAAGGAAACAGTCTGATATTGAATTTCCATTGAAAAACCATTTAATGCCACTTCCAACTGTTCGTCGGCAAACACACGTCAAATCTGTCTGTGCTGAAGGATTTGCAGAGTCACAAGCTAATTCAAAATATCCTGAAAATGCGATATAAAAATAGACCTGATAAACATTTGCATTGGAAAACATTATAGCATGTCTTAAAGCACCTAACAGACACCAATATGTGCAAAGCTTTATATATTTACGTTTTCGCTTTCACTGAATTTGTTTTCAACGATCTAATGAAGTGTTATTTGCATTAACATAAACATTTCGGGTGGCTTACTTTTTAGTTTTAAAATACTTAACAGTTATAAAACAGTTTGATGGAAAATAAAGAAAAGAAACAGAAAGATACAAAATAGCTACAAAAACAGCAACTTCACATTCCTATCATCCAAAAAGAAAAATTCAACCACAAAAGGTACTGTTTCAAAAACCGACCCTGTGCGCGATAAGATATCAAATAACAATATACTTGCTGAAAGTACTCGGTTCAGTCTAAAAAGTACTTAAATTTAATTGTAAAAATCATCACAATATTGCCTACACTAGAGCAGATAGCATCTTCGAATTTTTAGGCATTATGCAAAACAAACAAGTAACAATAAATGATACATTACAATTTAAAAAAACAAAACAAAAACAAAATAAAACTTACTACTTATCAACTTACCATAACTTGGTATTAACAACTGCAAAAATACGATTCCGATCTTGATATTCATCGCTGTGCTGAAATTATATTAAATACATATTTATTCAATACATGTTTCTGTCACTACAATATTAAACGTACAAATTAATATAATTCTCGCCACATTTTGTTTTGACTTTAATTGTTAAGAATGCCATTATTTGACATGTTTATTGACCTTGAGTAGTTTCTACATCATTCTAATAACAAGTAATGGGATCTTATATGCAGAATTTCTTATCGCGGAATTAACGTAAGTGTTTCTTACATTTTGATGAAACGATTAAAAAAAATAAGGTGAGTGGCCATTACATGCACGTGCCATTTTTCATATTTTGATAATTTAGAAAACACTTAAGTACGTTTATTTGTCATAATTTACGTGACATGCTATGGGTTACTGCCTATTAGTTATCCTAACAGTCTGGAATCACACAGAGGTAAAAGTTGCTACTTGTGATGTATTTGCGACATCAAACCGGAAAACAAGTATATATTTTCCTATTTAAAATATTGATAGTTATAATAACAATACTTTGCTGACTTTTTTGTAATATGATTTGCTTTTACGTACATATAATCATGGATGAACTTAAATAAAAAAAATCGCTGATGGTGTTCCATTTGTAGTTCATCGTTATAGCCACCGATAAAACTCCGGAAACGATAACAATCTCTATGACAGTGCAGTGTAAGTGTTAAACCATTGAATAAAAAAATTAACAAACAAGTTAATACTACATGAACATGTACTTACATTTTATTATCAAATATAAAAGTATCACTTTACTCCAATATTATAGTAAATATCTTTAACAAAAATAACTATCTGACTATATGCATTTATGCGATATATCACTTGTTTTAACGTGGTAGTGCGCTCTTTTTGGTCCCACTTATGTACTGTGTGTAATGTTCGTGAAGTTAGCCAGACAGCCGGAAAACCCGGAGCAGCCGGAATTCATTTTTGTCAACTCTGGCTGTTCCGTCTAGCCGGAATTCGGTTTCGGCTATACAGGCTGGCCAGAGATGATACGGTAAAACATGTGCAAAAGACCATTAGCTAATTCCATAATGTAATGTCAAATTACTTATCACAACGATCTCCGGCTATTACGGCTAGCCAGAAAAACAGAAATCAAGGCTACATAAGATGAAAAAAAAATCCTAAAGCAGATTGAAGAAAATATGTGTCTTGCATTGTGTGTCCGGGTGTCCGCGGGTATAGGTGTGTCGGTCGGGAATACTCTGGTATTTTGCCGACTATGAGCCGAAAATGGTACTATACAGCTCATATCTGGCCAATTCCGGCTGGCCCCTGTGGGGAACAGACTCTGGTATTTTGCCGACGTTAAGCCGAAAATCGTACTATACAGCTCATATCTGGCCAATTCCGGCTGGCCCCTGTGGGGACCAGACTCAATTCCGCAGAAGCGCATATGGTGGGATGGTTAGGGGGTATGATCGGGTGTCTGCTGGT